GTCAAACTAGGCATCATTAACCATTCCAATCAGTGAACTATTCTTGGTTCAATTATTTTATTGCCTTTGAACTTCCGCAGTGCCTGTCAGCAAAATAAACGTATATACTGTGTGTTGTTTTCAGGAAAAAAACTGTTTGTTATTACGGAAGTACTTTACCCAGTGCTAATAAGCGGTGATATTTGCTGTTTGATTAGATTAAGGTAAGGATGTGTATCATTCAACTGGGGATGGGTTGTGGGAGCCGCATTTTTAGCTAGGGGTCAGCAATTTGGTGACGCATTAATTTCAAGATTCACAGTATATCTGAAGTGTTTAGGCAAAACAGCACGTGTTTGGAAATAAATGCTTTCGTAAGTACATGTTAATACTGATGTTGATACAAAATACTACCTACTTGTTGAAATGTGGCTCTGATAGATGTCACTGGTGATGTTGTTGCACACCTTAATGGAACTTTAATGTCGATGTCTAATTTCCGATATTTATAGATTGCTTTGATATTCAATTTCGAGGATTAACCATATCAATCCATACATATGAACTGCAAACAGGGACATTTGTTCACCTTACTGTAATTGTTTTGTTCGTTGTTTTACGCCGCACTCAGCAATATTCCATCAATTCCTGTTTGCAAATAGTAACTGCCGTGTACAGCATGAAGGATGGGTGTCCGGAAAATGCGTGTGTATCTCCTCACGTTCCTGATGTTTGTTGAAAATTCAAGGAACGCACATATTCCATAGGCACTCGTGAAGAGCAACCACCCGTGCCGAGTGCTGGGTAACGCAAATAGCTCTTCCCGCGTGTGGACCCGGGTTAGAATGTGTCCACAGCACCCCATTGCTGGCCGTACGAGGCGACTAAATTGGGAACCTGTTTGTCGTGGGTTGCGCCCCTGTGTCGGTGGAGGAAGGGATCCTGGTGGTTGAGGGCACTGGAGCCAGGAACCGGTGTTCCTTTGCCCAACACACCACTTTGACCCTGACTTCACCTAGGCGGGTGGTAGAATGGGCCCGGTTCTATCAAATGGCTGGTCACGCCAAGCCCTATGTGTATTACTTTCAATACATATTTTTGTACATGCATGTATTATATTTATCACAAATTTTAGTAAATAGACAAATATAGCTATACATGTCATATTTGCTGGTTTATAACACCCCTGCAGCCCTGGTGTTTTCATTTTGGATATCCAATGCAATAAGACACCGTCCTTGTTGACACTCAATTGTGGGTGGGGAGCAGGGGTGCAGAACCACTTCCTTTCATTATGTCTAAACAACACTCTGGTTCGAAAAGAAAACATCTCGATGCTAGCTCATCTGATGACGACAATGATCTTCAATTAGATTCCTGGGCTCGATTCATAGTAATCGAGTCATCTGATCATCAGCCTTTGAAATTGAATCCGTTTGCTATTTCTAAGGCCGTCAATGGTTGTTGCAGTATGGTTGACAATGGCTCCATACTTGTGGAATGTGCCAGTAAACAGCAATCTCTAAACCTGTTATCAATCAGACAATTTGCAAATGTAGAGGTTGCTGTCTCGGCACATAGGACATTGAACTCGTGTCGACCTCCCTCCCGGTCAAGATCCGGATCCCCAGTAGAACCACCATGACCTGTTAAATCCCTATAATACAATGGAATTGCAGAGGACTAAAAAACAAATTTAATGATTTAAAGCTATTAACACAGGATTTCAAGCCATAAGCCTTTTGTCTACAGGAAACATATTTTAAAAATACAGATCAACTCAACATCAGATAATATGATACTTATCATTTCTTTTCACCTCCAGGAGCTAAAGCAACTGGTGGATCTTCAATCTTGGTGAGGCAAGGTGTTATTCATAGCCCTGTTACTCTGAATACACTTCTACAAGCTATCTCAGTTCGTATTACCATGCACATTGTTTTCACTCTGTGCTCTCTTTTTATTCCTCCATCTGCATCTCTTCAGCAATCCGATCTTCAAGCTCTCTATGAACAGCTTCCTAAGCCCTGTATTATAATGGGCGATATGTACAGACATAATCCACTTTGCGGTAGTGATCATACCAACGGTAAAGGCAAGCTCTTAGAAGATTTTATTTCAAACTATACTCTGTGCCTTTTTAATGATAATTCAAACACATATTTACATCCTGTTACAAGCACATACTCTTCTCTGGATTTTTCTGTTACAGATTCCAACGTGATAAATGAATTTAAGTGGTCAATCCACGATGTCCTCTGTGGAAGTGACCACTTTCCAATCATTCTAAACCCTATTATCCCATCTGATGTTCCTCCGTCATCTGGATGGAACTTTACCAAAGCTAACTGGCCTCTGTGTGACCTTCTATGTACAGCACAGTTAACACCTGATCACTTTACTGACGTTCCTGACCCAATAAAATGCTTTTCTGATGAACTCATCAAAATAGCTGAAGAATGTGTTCCAAAATCCTCTGCAATTCACCTCATAACTAAACCATGGTTTCCCAATGACTGCAACGAGGTAAAAAGGCGAGGAAAAAGGCGGAGCATTATTTCCATCGCCTAACACACAATGTCGTTTCCGGAAAAACAGAAGTACGATCGATCATTTGGTTCGCTTTGAATCATTTGTTAAAAATGCAATAATAAATAAGCAACATGCATTGTCTATCTTTTTCGATCTACAAAAAGCATATGACACCACATGGAAACACGGTATTTTAAAAGATTTACATAATTTTGGATTACAAGGCCGTTTGCCTCAATTTATATCAAAAAATTTAATTGACAGACAATTTCAAGTCCGCGTGGGATCCAGAACAATATCATCCAGATTACCAAATAACAGTTCCATTTTTACAGCAGAATCAAAGGGAAACTTAACAGCTCTCTAATATATAAATACTCAATATTTTCTCTTTCCTGTCTTCAAGCCAATAAGAATATTTCCTGTCAACATCCACTTGTATGTAACATCATAGAACTTCATAACAATGTTGCCACTAGCCAGTACGACATCGGGTTTTGTTGGTGATGATGTTGGCATAACTGGTAACCCATGATTAGATCTTACATTCATGATCTTAAGCAACAGACGCGGGATTATCAAGTAGGTATAAATAAATTACATGTAATTAAACCAACGTTTGGCTACACCTACTTGGGTTGCCAGTCCAGACTTGAAGAGGTCATAATACGACGACGTCGTATTGGCTATAGAAGGTATACACATGAATATATATTAAAAGGTGAGGATCCTCCATTCTGCATCCCTTGTGATGAAAGAATCCAGTCAAGCATGTCCTGCTTGACTGTGTTGATTTTTTCATCACACGGGATAAATATCTTTTAATAGAATAAATTCTCATTTAATTATAGGCTTTTAAAAAGAAATTGAACTTATTGATAAATTTTGAATCGTGTAAATAGCTTTATCATATAATGGGTAGGTTTCTCGGTAGGATAAAGCCAACGGATAAAAACGATATCCGTTGGGGTCATATGCGGATAGAGATGCAAATATCAAAGGTCAAGTAGGACTACTTTCACTGTTTATAAACAAACATGGCGTCGCCCTCGTCATTCGGCGATCGAGTCAGAATTAACCATCGGGAATCTGGATAAACTACAGGGATAATTGCTATCATTATCAAAAGAACAGTCTAATATACTGAAAATCAGTGTCTAACTGTGACGTAGCTAAGGCAATTTATAAGTTTTGGCAACTTTGGAGATATAAATTTCGAAACAATTTTGCGAGGGCACGAGGCCTAGCCAAGCAGGATCAGTAGCCATATCTGTGCTTGTAGACCTCTGCGGCTTGAAACCTTCTCCACAAATTAAAATAGTTGGATTTGGCCGAAATAATTCTGAATTGTTACCTTGTTTCGATTTGACGCTGTGTGTACATCTGACTACACTTCTTAACGTTATAACAGGACAGACCGACTGTCAACAACGTCTGGCCGTGACGTCTCATAGACTAGGGTAAGAGTAGCTTACCTTTGACAAAGGGCAGTTACTATAGCGGACAGACCGATGGAATGCCGCGAAAGGCAATTAAAAACAACTCTTGTTTTGCGTATATGTTGCTTCGCCACTGTATAAGAAACAGATTTCAGTTGGAACTATATCGGCTACTGTCACTGTCCGACTGACACATCACCTACCCTGTGACGTAATAAATATTAATGCACGCATTCCAGGAAATGTCGCAATGTTTCGGTAATGTTGGTGAGAGAGGGAAAGCGATTTTAAAGCACAGAATTAAAGAATGACATTATATGATAAAGAGGTTATCACGCTTGTGTGTTTGGGGATGGGAAATATCCTGTATTAGGAATAAACACTATGTATTTAGCTCGCCAAGGCTCGCTAAATACAATGTTTATTCCTAATGCAGGATATTTACCATCCCCAAACACACTCGCGTGATAACCTCTATATATTTTATATTGGTTATGTATAATATGTAACTTAGATTAGATTGGTGGTTATATGCTCAAAGGGGGTTGAAGTAGCGTAAAATTATTGTCCCCTTGAGAGGATTTGTAAGACCACATCATTCAAAGGACATTTATTCTTACATCGGTTTTAAACATAGTATATTTGTTTATTTTAACTGTTGGCTGTATTGCATCCCATCACCAGCAGCTGAAGGGTTGGTGTAAATCCTGCTGAGGAGCCGTGCAGGTAGGAAAAGTAATGTAAGTCCCCACGGTCCCTAATGATATGGCCTAACTTTGGTTGCTGATGATCTATAGCCCATTTTTATATTGTATTGTTGATTGAAAATATATTCTTTTAATTGTTCTCAATTAGTTTTAAAATCGAAACTATGATACTCTAGTTATCTTTCTGTCCATCGTTGACAGCTTTATAATTAAATCAAAACATAATTATTATAAATGTTTCGTTACGATATGGCTGAAATATTGCAGATGTGACGTTCAATTTCACTCACTCACTCACTCACTCACTCATATATTCCACAAATGCAACAGTTGATTCAGCGTTTATTCAAAAAGGTGGTTTCTCATTGATGTTACATGTACACATGTGGTAAGTTGTTATTGTGGCTGTTACAGGGGAATCTCACAGATGTACCGGCGTCGAAGGTGGCAGTAGAGGTCACTGATCCCCCAGCTGTCCAGCTGACCACAATCTTCACCGCGACTGTTGTCTGGCTCCCCCTTCCCCCAAGCGGGGACATTTGTGGATCCCGTGTTCCATTTAAACCCAGTTTTTGAGCTTCGTTTCAGACCAGTCCACACATGGAATGCAGTGTTTGTTTCTGAAAAAGTAAAATGCAAGAGTTAGATAAAAGTAAAATGTTTTTCATGGCAAGAGTTAAAAATGTGTCATTTTACGAAGAGTTCAAAGAAGTGCCTACGACATTGGCTAAAAATGGTTGTACTATTCGATGCAGTTCCATGCCTTCACGCCGCGGCGTCACGGAAGGGCGTTCTGACCGTGAAAGGTCCTTCGCATTTGTTTGACCAAGGTTTCACAGAAATCGGCTGATAACTGTGTAATGATAGCCCGGTTGACACCCGATGGCTTTTACTGACATTGCCAGACAGCACATTTACCTCACCGTCAAGCATCAGCGGTCATATCTTTACAGTAAAAGACCATTATTGAATAACTGGAATATCGTTAAGTGCAATGATAAGCTACGAACGAAAGCAACATATGTTTCATGTAGCCACGAACTTATTTGTTTGCCCTTATGGGTTTATTCCCCAGTAAGGTTAGAAGGAAAATCTCTTACGTGCGTTTCCTCCTTTGGGTCCCAAAGCAGTCATATATCCAGCAATGAGTCCATACTTCTCTGGAGTGTCCAGATCGATGAGACGGCCACGTGTCCTCCGACATGCATCCACAGCATATTGGTAGCTTCTTGCATCCGCAAAATCACTCAGTTTGAAGCACATCTTGGGATTCTCAGTCTTCGTGTATCCATCAGGACAGATCACTGCGGGGTGGAGTCGAAGAAATGAGAATAAGCTTAACAGGTTAATGCTAACACAGTATTGCCCTCGAAACAGTCAACTACCTTTCGTAAAACATTACTTGGTGTTGGTTTTTGTTTGTTGTTTAGTGCAGCACTCTGCATTATCCATGCTATATGACGTCGAACTGTAAATTATCCAATTTGGAAAAGATAATCCATTGATTGATATTATCAGCACCATTCAACGCCGCCAGGATATTCTAAAACGCTATCATCCATCTTACAGAGATGGTACACATGATAGCTGATGTGTACCAGCTTGAGATACTGTAACTCTTGAAATCAATGCGAGTGTGAAGTTAATGCGAAAACTGCACGTGGTCTTTGTTCGCATTTATTAAACTTCGCATTTATGTCTCCAAAATGATCATCAACAATAAGGCGGCGTCATTGCACACTTTGAATAGTGGAAATACCAACTTGAATATATACAAAAAACATGGTTTATTGAGCAGCAGTTGTAACACGTACATAACAATGTCATTTAAAGAAGAAGAGTTACACAATAGGCATCTGGCGAGTTATCACAGCTGGGGTCAAGAGTTCTACCCACTCGTGTCAAACTAGGCATCATTAACCATTCCAATCAGTGAACTGTTCTTGGTTCAATTATTTTATTGCCTTTGAACTTCCGCAGTGCCTGTCAACAAAATAAACATATAAACTGTGTGTTGTTTTCAGGTAAAAAAACTGTTTTTTGTTATTACGGAAGTACTTTACTCAGTGCTAATAAGCGGTGATATTTGCTGTTTGATTAGATTAAGGTAAGGATGTGTATCATTCCACTGGGGACGGGTTGTGGGAGCCGCATTTTTAGCTAGGGGTCAGCAATTTGGAGACGCATTAATTTCAAGATTCACAGTATATCTGAAGTGTTTAGGCAAAACAGCACGTGTTTGGAAATAAATGCTTTCGTAAGTAAATGTTTATACTAATGTTGATACAAAATACTACCTACTTGTTGAAATGTGGCTCTGATCGATGTCACTGGTGATGTTGTTGCACACCTTAATGGAACTTGGATGTCGATGTCCAATTTCTGATATTTATAGATTGCTTTGATATTCAATTTCGAGGATTAACCATATCAAACTATACATATGAAATACAAACAGGGTCATTTGTTAACCTTACTGTAATTGTTTTGTTCGTTGTTTTACGCCCCACTCAAACCGCAATATTCCATCAATATGACGGCGGTCTGTAAATAATCGAGATAATCCAGTGATTGACATCATGAGCATCGATCCACGCAATTGGAATCCGACAACGTGTTTCAACGTGAGCCTGACCACCTGATCCCGTTACTCGCCTCTTACGACAAGCATAGTCGCCGTTTACAACAACCATGGGTGGCTAAAGACCTATTCTACCCCGGATCTTCATGGGTTTCACCCAACTATGAGCTTTATCTTCCTGTTTTGTAAATAGTAACTGCCGTGTACAGCATGAAGGATGGGTGTCCGGAAAATGCGTGCGTATCTCCTCACGTTCCTGATGTTTGTTGAAAATTCAAGGAACGCACATATTCCAAAATTGCAACAGTTGATTCAGCGTTTATTCCCAAAGGTAGTTTCTACTTGATGTTACATGTACACATGTGGTATGTTGTTATGCTGGCTGTTACAAGGGAATCTCACAGATGTAACGGCGTCGAAGGTGGCAGTAGAGGTCACTGAGCCCCCAGCTGTTCAGCTGACCACTGGCTCCCTCTTCCCCCAAGCGGGGACCTTTGTGGATCCGGTGTGTTTTATTTAAACTCAGAGTGAGTGAGTATGGTTTTACGCCGTTTTTAGCAATATTCCAGCAATATCACGGCGGGGGACACCAGAAATGGGCTTCACACATTGTACCAATGTCGGGAATCGAACCCGAACCACTAGTCTACCCGACCGCCCCTTTTAAACTCAGACCAGTCCACACAAGGTATACACTGTTTGTTTCTGAAAAAGTAAAATGCAAGAGGTAGATGGCAGGATGTCTGTAGGTCCAATAAGAAATCATATACGAACATTTTAAAGAAAGAAAAACGACTTTAGCTGAAAAGTGGTTGTTATAATCTAGGCAGGCTCTGACCGTGGAAGGTTCTCCACCACAATTGTTCCGGAGATGTCCCACACGTGTTTAATGCTCTGTGTTGCCCGAGGGAATGTGAGGATGTCCTGCTCCTGAAGCATGTAGTGGGAATCCAACTGTTTCTGGCACATGAAGCAGCGTTATGTGCAAGGGGTAGTCAGATTGGCGCCGGCATGTTGTCTAGACATTACTGTAAAGGGACCCCCCCTCCCCCTCTCCCACATTCACGATATGCTAGTCTATTCCTTTCGTCGAGCTGTTCAAACCCGACACCATACAAATACAATACTATTTCCAGAATCATAGGAAATCTCCACTAACAGCAGAGTGCATTGTACGATTTCGTTTATATCATACCAATGTACTTATGAATTACTATAAAAAAAAGTTATGACACCAGGTGTGTCTGCCCCACCAGTGACAGTGGTCATAAACACATGCACATGCAAGTCACTTGCCCTGCAGAAAAATCAGTAATACTTGTTGGAAGATTTAATTACGACTTGAATGTTGAAAACTTGACCAAGGAACTGTTGAGTCGTATGACGCACTTTCAAAATCTTACAAGAAAGAACATTCTAAATTGTACCTTAAAAGTTGTGAAATGTAGACACAACAGGCTGGAGCTGCAGGAATATTGCTCGATATAAAGTGAAAGTTGACTATTTGAAAGATGAAGTCATCCCTGTTGTCATACAGTCTTGTGGAGCGTGTTTTGTCAAATATAAAACAAATAGGTCTGTTTGACTGGTCTCAGTTATTTCTATTTCAGATGGGTAAATTAATGAAAGAGAAGTTGGCTAGTTATCATTGAAAGTCGGCTCCACGCCTCAGCTACCTTCTCTTTCCAAATGGCGCCAATGAAACCAAGCAGCACACAATTAACACAAAGTAGCAGTAGGTTACACAATAGGTATAATAAGATACTGCAGCTGCTCAGAACATGCTTATGCATTTAGTCCAGCGCTTTTATTATTATGTACAGATTAAAATATAAAATGCCGATAAGAGGGTTTGGGTGATCCTGGCACAGTCAGGCTGGTTAGGCTCATCCTCAGCCCAGGGCCCTTGTCCCCTCTACACGCAGCCCAGACAGCGAATGGGACTTCCAGTCGAACTCACCGAGAACGTTTCGGAGAATGTGAAGACTCCCCTCCACTGCAGCCTTTTGCATTATCCAGATTGTCAGAAGGCTTGTATGCCTGGTTGAAAAACCCGGGTACTCTCCCAATGTCAGTCAACAGATTAGGAGGTACCAAAACCTGAGGCACCGAGAATAATTAATTTTATTATTAATTAATAAAATACATTATTTTGGTAATCTTACATTATTCCAATTCAAGGGGCTTTCTCCCCCTGCATTTGTGTTCCACGGTCGAAGGGAAGCTACTCTTCCTGGTTTATAGTGCAAGGGAAGCGACTCTTCCTGGTTTATTAGTGCAAGACACCTTATCAGTGTATTATTCAGGAATTGTTCTTCATATGCTCTAAACAAAGGGAAGTAACCCATGTTGCAGCTGAAATTAGTTGCTACATCCTTTTTTCATCCACACAACCACACCGGTAACACGTTTTTTCCATCCCATCCCACCCATTACTTCTCATTTTAAACGTATATATCTATATAACATTTCCTCAGTTGATAGTTAATCTAATTTCAAGTATTTGTATGTATCAGGAACATGTACTGCTGTTTTTTCCCCCTTTATATTGTAGTTGTGGCAAGTTTTGGACAATTCAGTATATGCGAGGCAAGAGCTGTCCTGGCATAAACATACGTCGAACAAGTCACAGGGGCTTGTATGTGCACAACAGGAGAAGAATCTGGACTTGCACATTCTACACATTACATCACACGACAGTTGGTTTGTATGCGTCGCGGAACACTTTTGGGCTGGGAGTAGTGATTTTGGTGTTTTGGGGGTATTTGAGGCATACCCTCTAGGCCCTATTGTATAATGGTGTTTGAAGAGCCTACAGCAGACCCCCTATGCGCTTTTCCCTGGGGGGTCCCATCATTTGGCTTCGTATGTTTTTTTCCCTCGGAGCCGCGTTTGCTGTTCTGTCCGGGCACTTTCGGGTTGACAGTCAGCCGTGTTTAGCGTTTCCCAGCCCGGAGTGTTCTCCAGTCCTTGTACTTTTCTGTATATAAACCTATGGCCTTATACATCCAACTCAAGTCTTTGTGTTTTTTCTTGCAATGGTGCAGCATCTACTTCTGCTAAAGCATTATCCTAAAATAATGGGCAGTCGGACCACTTGGTACTTTGGATGCAAACGTGACATTTCGATAGCGAGGTCAGAATATTTGCCATCTTTTTCCTGAATCATGTCAATCACATTGGTGTTAAAAGGGACAGAAAATTCAGTGATATAAATGATTTCATTGGATTTATCAAAAAGAACAAGATCAGATTTGTTGACCTGATGTTGGCTGTAAACGGGCCTATTCCAAAGAATTTTGTATTTATCATTTTCCATGACGCCCTCTACATATTCCGGATCGTACCATGGATGGACTTCTGTGTCAAATCCACAATCATGGTGAAGACGGTAATAAAATGATCGCGCCACTCCATCATGTCGCTAAAGATACTGAGATACAGCTCTGAATTCTAGATTTTCTTAAGTCTACATTCGTACCCTTCACGAAGTTTTTCCTTGATATGGCCAGATTCCGGGGTAGAATAGGTCTTCAGCTACCCATGCTTGCCTTAAAAGGCGACTGACGGGATCGGGTGGTCAGGCTCGCTGACTTGGTTGATGCATGTCATCGATCCCAATTGCGTGGATCGATGCTCATGATATTAATCACTGGATTGTCTGGTCCAGACTCGATTATGTAGAGACCGCCGTCATATAGCTGGAATATTGCTGAGT